CATGGAATTCTTCCAAGTAGGTCCCTGAAGAGGCCAAAGTGAGCTCTCCTGAAGCCCAATGTGGCAGTCCTACTTGTGGAGAGGTGGACCCCGTCCCTCCCTAACAGGTTGTACTCATCAAAGAACGCCCCATTGTCATAGAAGCCAAAACCCTCACAATGGCACCAGCCACGTGGCCAGGAGTTGATGTACATTATGCGCCTATTTCTGGCCGTTCCCTTCCCTCGAACTGGTAAAATGGAAGAAAAGATAACCTGGGCCCCAATGTTTTTCACTTGTACCCCCAGGGCTCAGAACTCTTCCTTGATTTTACCCAGGTTTCTGCTTTCTGTATCGTTTGTGCCTACATGAAATAGTAGTAGTGGATAGTAGTCCCTTCTCCTGACGAGTTGTGGCATCCTCTCGGCCACGTCTCGAACCTTGGCTCCCGGAAGGCAGCACACATCTCGTGACTCCCTGTCAGGTCGGCAGATGGGTCCCCCTATACCCTTCAACAGAGAGTCACCCACTACGAGCACTCGTCGCTGCTTCTTACGGTGTCTGCTATGCGTTGCTGGTACAGTTTCCCCCTGCGGGGGACTTTGCAGACCTCGCTCGCGTGTGTCCTCAGCCGTTAAGGCTTCGTATCGGTTCCTGGTTGAGATGGCGGAGGGTGCAGGCTGATGTGGAGTCCTGCTTTTGGGAGTCACCAGGGTCCAAGGCGCCCCCTTCTCGGTGGGGTCTGCCACAGGAGCATGGTGCTGAAACCACCTGCCTACCTCTGCCTCAGCTCCTCTAACACTGCACCATCTTTCAACCCGTTCCTGCAGCTCGGCCACCTGGCGTCACAGGCCATGGGCCTGCGCGCACCTAGTGCGGGTACCGACCTTTTCTGCCGAAGAGGGAGGGCGGAATTCCCCCGGCGAGTGAACTTGGCCGTCAGCAATGCGTGACCCTCCAGTCCACCTGGGGAGAGCGATCATTTGCCGTGTGCTGTCTTTTCTAGACTGATGCAGCTCCCCTGGGATCACAGAAAATAGCTGGAGCCAAATGATATCCAACAGGGAAGTGGGATTGCTACCAGCTGGAACACTTGAGGTCTGTTAAAGTTCCCTGAGGCCTCAAACCAAAAGCTGCCGCTGACGTGTGGAAAACAGACTCCCCAATCTGTAAGATCGTACAGTAGGTATGTTTATTCAGCACTGGGCAGCACGGGGGGTAGTCCCACCAAAGTCGTGCATGTGGTAGCTTGCCTTGAAGTTATATGACAAGGTGTTACATATACATAAGATTCCCAAATATGCGTATACATATGCATGACTTGTCCCCGCTTCGTATTAAAATTAGCCCGAAGAAGTAATTTCCATCAACTCCTCCTTGCGCAGTGTCTCCTGGTGGTGGTCACGGGGGTCGTGGGGGATGAAGGCCAATGACTCCTCTTTGTCACTGCTAGTAACCCCTTGTTCTTGCGCAGACTCAGTTGCTCCTTGGCTCTTCTCCAAACTACAGGGTCGGTTTTAGCTGGTTCTCAAGGCAACTTCTCAGTTCTTATCAAGAACTTGTACAATAGACAATAGCAAGCACATTTTAAGCAACATCTTCTCTACTAGGATCCCCTTCTCACCCCAAGAAAGGATAGCTAAGAGCAGAGGTGTGTTTTGGTGAGAATGTTAAAGGGGATGCTGTGCCTGAGGAACAGAGAAGGCCCCTGTACCCGAGGCTTTCCAGACACTGCATCCATGGATGCCCCTGTTCCAATGGGTACCTGCGGGCCGGGAATGAGCAGTGGTGTGGCTGCGGTGCCGTGTCCAGCATTGCTGGTCATCGGAGCCCGGGCTGGGAAGAGGGCAGAGCCTTGTGGGTCTGTACAAGCCCAGGGCTGCCAAGGGCTCACCAATAACCCAGTCTGGCTGTAACAACCTGACTGGCTTTAGGATGCTCGTCTGCAGATCTGGGAAGCAACAAGCAGTCGCCTCTGAAGAGTGGTTGGCAAAGAGCCCACTTTAGTTAGCCCGGGCCTTGGCGGGCAGGTAGGTCACACCCGCACAGGAGGGGTAGTACAGGCAGGGGAAGCGGTGCCCTCCTTTGCAGGACCGAGGGACAGGCTCGGGGTTGTATGATGGTCTGGCCCCACCCTAAGCCTCCTAGGGTCTAGGGAATGTGAGTGCCCTTGGGATACTGGAATCCTTCCTAGTACCAACCAGCGCATCGCAGGTAATCCCGATGAGCGTTAGATACCCCGTGAAAAAGGGGTACTGGGGATCCAAAGAGCCAAACCAAAGGTTGAGGGGGCAGGTTCTTGGCTGAGAGAAAAGCCACTTCCAGCTTTCAAGGGCCACTTAAGCTGAGTAGCAGTGGAAAAGCTGTAACGGTGACTTTGGCCATCAGACACCACTTGCAATGATGAGGCAACTTCTGGCCTCAAGAAGGCTTCAAAGCAGATGCTCACAGTATTGCTTCTGAGCCATTTAACTCTTATTTTATACCACCGATCTCAACAAAATTACCTGAGGTTTTTGGCCCTGTGAGATGCTTCAGACTCATCCTTGAAGGCAAGTGGGGGTGGCTGGTGTCTTTCGGTGGGTATGAGGAAGCAGCAGCCACCCCCCTGAGCTAAGCTGTCAGTGTTCAGCTTTGTCTGGAATGCTTTAAAGAGAAAAAAAAAAAAAAAAAAAAGAAAAAGATGGGGATTTTTCTTACCAGGTCTCAGCAGTCCACGATCAGCACCAGGAATGTGAAGCAGGGCCTCAGTGCATCCTCGGGATCATGGACATTTCACCGCATTTCCTCCAGGTTTGATTTCAGGTGGGATCCCAATCCTATTGGGGTTCAGAGGGTGCTGAAAATCTAGGAAGAAAAGCTAGTTCTGAGCGAATAGAACTATTAAAAATCACTTTGAAGCATGCATGAGAGCTTGGCATCCCAGCCAGAGCCTTACTGATGTTCAGGTCCCATTGCCTCTGCCCATTTACGCTTCTGCCTTATTCTGGCAACCCCTTTCCTGTATTAAACACCTGAGTATCCTCTGAATTAAAAGAAATCTGGTGTATGTGGCTGTTCTGCAGCCGGAGCACGGCAGCTGCGTTCCTTGTGGCCAATGCCCTTCTCGGTCCCTCCGGGGAGGGTTTGGCTGTGTCCAAGGAGAAGAGCCCAGCCCTGTCCAAGGAGAAGAGCGCAGCCCTGTCCAAGGCAGCCGCCAGCGGGCAGCCGAAGGAACGTGGAATGGCTGCCACTGTGATGGGGCACAGGCCAAGTGCAGGAAGGTTTGAAGTGAACAGACCTGTGCTGGAAGCCGCCTGGGTGTAAAGCAAGTGAAGTGCACGGACCTCGGGACGAGCGAGCATCGCTGCCAGCCTGGCTCGGGGGCTGCATCCCTCCAGGGGGGTGGCAGAGGGCTGGGGAGAGGACCCTCCACGAAGACCCTGGTGAAACTGGCTTTTCTAATTCCTACCTGTAACTTTCCATTCCCAAGTGCCAAGAGCACTTTCTTGACCTCGCCCGCTGCTGCCCTTGAGTCCAGGTGGCCGCTTGTCCTCCCGTGCGCTTGTTTGCACTGCACAAAGTGTTGGCTCCCAGAACAACAAACAAATGAACAATCCCCCCGTGGCAGGTCAAGCCAGATTCTGCTGCTGCTTGCCTTGGGAACGCTGTGTTTATCCAGCCTTTTCCCAGGTGCCTGGTGCCTGGAGCCTAAAATGCTCACTCGTAACGTGCTCGTAGGTCTTTGCTTGTGTCCTGCAGGAAGGTTCAGCAAAGGGATGTGGCCTCAGCGTTACCTTCGAGATGTAGCCTCAAACCCACAGCTGACGGCGTTGGCTGCCTTGTACCCAAGACAAGCATTTCACAGCCTGTGAGCTGTGAGCGACGAGTAGCCCACAGGATACCAGAAAACAGCACGCAAAATGGTTTCGAAAGAGTAAAAGCTGCAGGCACCTGGAAACAGAACAAGAGTTAAAAGGAAAACGACAAAAATAATTAAGTTTAACCTAATGTTTGTTTGGTACAAAGTGAGAACCACACAGGCACTGCCGCCAGAAATACTCCTTGGGGATGGGGGAGAAGGAGCGGTGCATGCGTGCGTGCATTCCCCTCCCAGACAGGTGAGATGGTTCTGGAACCACAGAAAATGTGCAAATAGAGCATGAGGCTCGGCTCAGCTTGGCAGGGCTCAGACTGTCCTCGCCGTCATGGAAATGAACCCCTTACCTGGCCGAGATCAGACTCACCCTGGAGTCTTCTCCAGGCTGAAGTCCCAGCTGGCTGGCTTAGATCTGCACTTCTGGATGAGGTCTTTGCTTCCCAGTGTTCTCACGGTATCTCCTGAAAACCGCCCAAACTGTCTCGTCTTTCTCAGCAGACACGGGACCAGCCTGGGCTTTGCTGGTGCCTCCGCCACCTCTTTCCTCGCGACTCAACAAGTTCAGATCTGCTCCGTTTCTCGTCGCATTGGGACCTTACAGATCCACTTCCAGGAGGAGCAGACAGCAGCCACGGAGACATGAGCACACTCCTGATAAGCTCCCGTCCCTGTTTACATGGATGAATGTGTCACGGAGCAGACACTGTCGCACGCAGCAGGGAGGTGTGGGGCCGCTTTTATTGCATCCAGCCTGCAGTATCCAGTTCAGCCGCAAGCAGCCCCGACCTGCGGCTTGGCTCCGGTCACAGCGGTGAAAGCAGCAAGTGAGCTCTTGACAGGCTCTCACCACTTCTCCCAAAGGGGCACAGAGAAACATCAGCTGCTGTTCTGCCTAAGCGGTATCTGCCACCAGAAAAAAGAGAGCACGCGAGGCTGTACGCAGCAAGGCCACCTTGTTTTGCCATGCACGGGTGCATTTCCAGCTCCATGTTCCCTAAGGCGCCGTATTTTCAGGTACTCTATTTCAAAATAATTCAGGTTTCGCATCACAACAAAATAAAATAACCACCCTTGTTCATTCATCTTCTCAAAACATAGGCTCTGGTAATGCGAGGTCGTCCTCACCAGCCAGCTCAGGCGAGATGAGCAGTTGTGGAAGCAGCCACATGCGAACACCTCTGACCGTCAGGTGAACACGTGTGGGGGTCGGTCGCTTGTACGAAGTCATGCACAGTGAAGAGAAAATGGGAATCGTTCTTAGAGGAAAAACGTGATGGATTTCTCCAAAGCCGATGAAGAGCGCGCTCTTCCCTTGGATCGTTCGTCAGATGCAAGCGCGTTCCTGGTGCCAGAGGGAGGAGACGCCAAGAGCTCCCCAGGCACACTGTGCCCAGAGCGTCGCCACTACGAACACGTTCAAAGGAAGAAAACCAGGCAGGCTGAGCGCGGTGCCATCATCTCACGGCCCTGGTGTGTCCCTGTAATGGGACTGGGGTGTTCAGTGCTGTGGTTCCAGCATGAAGATGATGACAGGACGCGTGCGCCATGGCAGGACACGCTCCCCTCCCTCCCACTCCTTCCAGCACTTAGCAAGCTGCTTGCCATGAATTGAGGCCAATCTGAACCCCACACTCTTCCAAAATAGAATTTTATACGTTCTCTGTTTAAAACCAGAAGAGCATGGAAAAACCCTCATTTTCAAGGGCACCCTTGTTCCCTCCCAGCAGGATCAACTTCAGGGATGCAAAAATCTGGACAAGCTCCTGCCAGGACAGCTGGTGCTAAAACCTCCCTCAGGCTTTTCAGATCAGATTCCTTGAGCTTGCAGGTTAGAAACTGAGCAGCCACAGGAGGAAGCCTGGACTTCGACTGTGTCCTGGGAATGCCGCGGAACTCCCTGCCGTTCTGCTTGCAGGGGGCCAGAGCTCCCACGCGCAGCGGGCTCGGGAGCGGGGCTGGGTGGGGACTGTGCA